TGGCCTGTGTAGCATGTTGTTTGTGATCTTGTATGATTACGTGAGGGAAATTTGTTACTACTGGGATTCTTTAGAATCTCACCCCTTCTTCCATGTAATACAGCAAGAGCAAGTACTCCTAAGGGCAAGGGAGTAGTGATCGGTGGAGTTTAAAAGTGCAGGAAGCTGGCGATCATTTGTACATATATATTTTGTTTAAAATGCATCTTATTTTGGAGTAAAGATATATATTGTATATCTATTTTGGTATGTAAATATTCCTCCATAAGGAGATGACTAAGGGCAGATAGATCATAATGACTGCTATTGAAGGAAATGGTCAAATTTTTTGATATAATTATTATTTGGCCTAAAATTATGTGTATCTAATTACGTATCTCGTCGTGTGAGCCAATGGCCAGGGTGTCAAATGTTAAACCCTATTGGCTATAGTTGACTTATCTCAGGATTCGAAGGGCCGGATGGAAATACAAATATATATAATTCCCAGGATGAAACCTGGCTTTTAATGGATCATGATTAAATAGAATAATTCTACTAGTATATAAAGGATAGGTGTTACACTTTGGCTGTGAATTACAACAATAGACAGATGAAGAGTTTGGACGACGTTAATACAGTATCTGACTTACTTGTGGCAGACACATCGCCTTCTGGGTCTCTTTCCTCGTCGCCTTCCATGTTTAGTCTTCCTCCACTTGGAGTCGATGATAGTGGCGGCCGACCGAAGCAAGAAAAGCCCGAGATGGAGGAGCTGTTTGCCCAATTGAACTTTGCTGCGACTGTCATGACGAAGCAAGAAGATGGGTGTGCTGCTTCCTCGGCTGCTTTGGCACCACCAGTGATGGTCCCGTCTCCGTTGCAGCTTGTGCATGCAAGAAACAGTGACGCTTTAAGTTTGCTTTCTCCTTATCCAATTGGGAGGTATATATCAATTTGGGTCTCTTTTATATTGATAGTGGGGCTACTTCTCTTTTTTTAAATCCTCCTTGTGCTTTCTATCACAGTATTTAGGATATTCTTACTTTTCTCTGTCGTATTACGGAAACTGGGGGATAATAACATGAAGGGGTGTATTTGTTTGCATCAACCTGCAGTTATTTGTCAAAGGCTGTTCACTTGCAAGAGCAAGTAAAAGCGGGCCATGCAAATATGAGGAGTGAAATATCTGATACTAGCCCTACAATCCAAAGGGATCAAGTGGAAGAATGCGCATACAGGTTAGGCTCACAAGTGGATCAAAATCATCAAATTGAGCAATTCGTCCATTACGTAGCAATCCCATCCTACTACCCAGTCTATGCAATAACTGTGGCACCTACTCATCCAGATGGGGTATCCTCAGGGCAGCCACGGACAGTAACAGCCCAAAGCGGGCCTCCTTCAACGGTTTACATCAATCCCACTCCAAGTCTTTACACAGCATCAAGTCCTGCAATTCTTCAACCTGCCCAGTTCCGTTGCCCGCTACGTACAGTCTAATACTGCTTTCGCTTTTGCCAGTCATGGCTTTGAATACGACGGTACTGCCACTTTCCAAAAACAAACTAATACTCATTTGCCCCCTCAACTAGCTCTTATAAGTAAGATCAAAAGTAGTATCTGATTATTTTACAGCCGAAAGAATTTTTTGGAAGTCCAAGTATCATATTGTGGAGTGTAAAAAAATGAGATAAAATGTTTAAATATACCAGAAGTATTCATAAAGGAGTAGCCAATACTTGAATTTTTTTCTTTGCTCTTATATACCTTAAAAATTTTATTCCGTAGCACTTTTGTCTCAATCTATTATCTGTTATTAAGTTACATCATTAAAGATACTAATTAAACTGCATAATTTAACAGTCAAATTTAATGACAGATAACAGTTAGAGTATTTTTACTACAAAAATAAAGTTCCAAACATACAAGAGCCAAAAAAATTTAGGTGCTGAATGCTCTTTTATAGATATTGCCAGAATATGTAAACACCTTATCCCGTAGAAATAATTATAAACCATGCTGTATCTCGTACTGCGTCTTAAGTATTTTCCCAGAAAAGATTGAAATCATTAAATTTTATATATAAATTAATGAAAAAAATATGGCGAGATAAACATGATAAAATATTCTAATAAAAGAACACAACTCTAGTATCATGATAGTTGTCGGTGTGAACACTCTTTTGTAATTATAAAATTAATTTGTATAAAATTAAAAAATTAATAATTATAAAAGGTATAAAACTTGTCATGTTTTAAGAACGCAATCTAGCTTATCATATAATCGGAAATACAATCATCTAAATGTATTTGTTTAAAGAAATCGTTGGCAGCTTATCAAAAAAAAAGAAAAAGAAATCTTTGGCAAAATAATCACAACAAAAATATTTTTCACAGAATAACAAAGACAACTTATAGGAAAGTGCATGACTGTCGTGGCGGACAATTCTTTGTTACCGGGGTGATCAAATGTGTTAGAATTAAAACTTCTGATTTACAAAGGGCCTTGAATTCAACAGCATTAAATTACTAATAGAAGAAGAGACTCTACCCGATTTGATTTGGACGTGCACGTGAGATGTGCGCGGGTCATAAAGAAAGGGGGTAATGACTAATGACAGGCTGCTTAGAGGCTTATTAAGAGCTTAATAGTATGAAAGCAAACTAATTAATTCACGTGTTTTTGGGAAGAATTAAAGCCTGCACTTGCATGTAGCACTACAAATAGGGACAGATTAGCAAACCAAAACTTGTTAAGCTTATCCCTCTCCTCTTTATCTATAAATTAAATCTGAGTCCATCCTCAGTCCTTGTCGTCACTATACATCCGCCACCTCCACCGGACTTTGTTTATTATATTGCTCCGGTCCCCACTGAATTATTCATTCTTGTTTTGCAGCAGCAAAGGTAGAGGACAGAAAAGATTAAAGGGAAGACAACAAGAAGGGGAAGAGAGACTGCAAATTAACGAATATGGTTATCATCCCTTGAAGTGAACGTCTCGATCGCTTGTCTCTTATTTTTGCTATTTGAGAGAAGAAATTTAGCATCATGTCCGTACACAAACTTAGTAGTGACAAAGTGACCGGTATTGTATTTGGTGATTAAAAAGAGTGGGCCGGCGGGGCAAGTTGCGTTGTAATAATACACTGATGAGACTAAGATCTCACAATACACAACTCAGCATACAATAATTTAAAAATCAGTAACAGACTCATACTGTGTTAGCCATTTATTTTGAGGAAATAAAACAGACACAAAGGGACAGGCACGGGAGAAATGATGACAGGTAGTTGGTGTGTGGACAATCTTTCGTTGTCAAAACGAGACAATGAAAGCATTGGTTGGCTAATAATGCTGAAAAAACATAATTTTTTTAATTAAAAAAAATAATGGAGCTTGACTTTTGACCATAAAACTCGACGGATGGGCTTTCATTTGATTGGATGAAATATGTCATCCCGGAGGCGCATTTACATTGTTGTCCCAACAGACCCGCCCCTTGACGGATCATTCCAACCACTAACACCCACCCACGTATAAAATCTTATCCTGTTATTTCTTGACTTGACTCAAAAGGGGCCTCAGCCTTTATTTATTTTCAAGGTTATAGGCCTTTAACTAACTAAGATCCCCCCGCCGACCGAAAAAACAAAAGTCAAAGGATTTACTTTTCATTTGTAACTCAATTTAAGAAGTTTGGAACCATCCCTATTAGACGAGCAATGATCATTCTCCACGTACCTAAACCTAATCATATATATATATATATATATATACTCCTCCGATCCTTAATATAAGACCTATTCAACTAATTTAATTAGATTAAGAAAGTTAGGTAAGTTAGTTAATTATAAGAAATATGACATATTTTTTCTAAAACACCATAATTATTTTTCTTAATATTCTCCATTTTTCTTCTACTTGATTATAGTTGAAAGAATATCCATAAGAGTAGTTTAGAAAAAATTAATAAATATGAGAAATAGATCTATAATTAGAACCAAAATCAACTCAATAATTAGGTCATATATTAAGAATTGGAGGAATATATATATGCATATACATATATCTGCTATTTTACTTTTTCAAACGTGTCACATGTTGCCTCCCATTAAACGAAGTAAATGCATCGATTTGTACCTAAATTAATTATCACAGCTATAGGAAAAGGCTAATTGTTTCAATGTATTTCAATGGTGCACACACTGTCATGCAAACGACACATCTATGATCCACAGAAATGACTTGATGTAAACACGTCAAAGTGCGAGCAAGACTTTACATACGAGTCTGTCTTTTTCTATTCAACACACAATATATATATATATATATATATATATTTATATTTAAAAAAATATAATATGGCCATAAACATGAACACACATATTTTCATGTGTAAAACATACATGAGAAAACGCATCTAATTTCTTCTGAGTGATCATGATCCTAACTTTATATGCATGGATGTTTGTTTTTAGTTTACATGTCAATGCCGGGCACATTAATTAGTTTTGTTTTGCGCGTATTTTCACTTTAATTATCGATCATACCGTTCACGATGCTAAAAATACCCTTTTTATCCTCTGTGGTGATAATTAAACGTTATTGAGAATCGGTATCTTTTTTTCCCCCAGCCAAGAGAATGAGTAGATTGCAACTTCAAAAACGAATATTCGAAGACAGATGTGCCTCGGATATTCAAATTAAAGTAAAAAAACGATTCGAAGTTATCAGAAAGGTTTAAAACTAAGGTTTCAACCACACGTTAACTAAAATATTTTGTGGCTAGTTAATTATCCATATCCACTAGCTAGTGGACTAAGTAATTCCGCTAATATGTATTTTCATGATGATTATATAATGTTCCATCTAATACTCCATACATACAAGCGATTCAAATTAACCTCTCCAAGCTCAGGTTCTGACAAGTTTATGAAGCATGAGATTTTGTTGCTGGATATGTATGTCACACGCCTCACGAAAGAAGGGAAGATTATTGATTTTCGCTAGAGGCGATGGTGGATGCGGAAGCAGGCGAATACGCAAACTATACGAATAATGCTTTAATTTATTGAAGGAAGCAGAAATTAAAATGAGTAAAACGACAACAGTAGAGGCAGAAAGAAGCATACATGCAAGTACAGGAAAGTGAAAGGAACAGAAGTGGTTTCTGAATGTGTGGGAAGAGTGAGAATTGGAATGAAAAAAGATTAACGGTGGAGTCACTGGATGGAGCAAGAATCAGACGGTGGAGGATCATAAACGACATTGTAACAATGGGAAGAGAAAGGCTTAGCGCAGCAAGAGGGACATGAGACCCAAGGAGGGCAGTGACCGTAGCAGATCACCGAAACGCACTGACCACCGCACCGGTAGCTGCGGCATCCCGGGCACGGCTTGCACTCACCCCCGCATTTGTGGCTCTCGCACTTGCAGCACGGCTTGCACTTACCGTCGCACCTGTGGCTGTTGCACTTGCAGCAGGGCTTGCACCCACCGTCGCACCTGGGGCTCTGGCACTTGCAGCACGGCTTGCACCCACCGTCGCACCTGGGGCTCTGGCACTTGCAGCACGGCTTGCACCCACCGTCGCACTTGGGGCTGCGGCACCTCACGCAGGGAGGAAGCGGCACCACACACACTGTACAACATTTGGGCTTGCCTTTGTCCTTGTCCTTGTCGTCCTCCTTTTTGGGCTTCACCTCTTCCACCGTCAGCACCGTCACACACCGGAACTTCTTCCTCAGCATCCTGCCCAAGCAAACCGCGTCCACATCTTCCCCGGTCACCACCACTTTATCTTTGCTGTCCCCTTCTATCGCCACCGAAGTCACACCTGCATATATTTATGTTCCGCTTCCAAGTATATATCTAAGTCTATTCATGCTAGTACGTATATTGATCCACGTGACCACACACACACACACACACACCTTTATCATCGAAGCTATTTTCAAGGCCTTGTTCCTGCAACTCTCGCACTCCATTGCCACCTTCACTGTTATTTTTTGCTGCACCCATCCCAGTTTCAACAATAATGAAGTCGCCTTCTTAATGAAATTAATTTCAAGAAACTGAGCAGCAAGCAGTTATAATTAAATAGACCTCACCTTCATGTTCGGACTCCTTCTTGGGGATACTGAATTGCCAATACCGAGTCGTACGTTCTTATTGTGTCGTGCCACGCTTTCGGAAGCGTCTGAAGTCCTCTATATATATATATATATAGGGGAATCAGTACTTCTTCCCTGATGCATCATGCACACTAAGAGACAGATGATATACATATATATTAGTTCAGCTAGGGATTAAACAAGTGACACTTAATCATACTGTCGGTTCTAGGTTATACGCTCTAAAAAATAATTTCGTCCGTGAACTCATTTCATATAAATCATCAAAAGTAAAATCGTGCACGGTATGGATATTACATAATTGAGGGGTGCGTCGTATTTAGTGCTTTCAATCCTAGGTACTGTTAAATCCCCCAGCACGTAGGGTCGTTGACTCAGCCAGCTCAGAGCGTGAGGCATTATCGTCAGCGGTTCATGCCAACCCCAATCACCAACGTGCTCTTGTAATAGTAGTACTTTTGGAAGATTGGTGCACACGCGTCACTTTACTATTCTGCGATTCATTCTGCTGTTCTCTATCATTCATCACAAATCCCTCCTACACGCTGTAAAACTCGAAATAAACAATCGAAAACGAAAATTACTGATATTGAAGGCCGGCATCGTTCCGCTTTGTTGAGATGCATGCATGGGCCTACTATGACATTGACAGCCCTTTTGGACCGTCAACTTAAACAAATATTATTCCCTATCCAATTAGCTGTCATTTTGGTCAGTGCTAAAATATACTCATTACATATATAAACGTACCTACCCTACCCCCCTAATTATTTCACCGCTTCCATCCGTTTTTTTTTGTTTAATGGACCCTATCCATTTTAATTATTCATCAAATCAGAGCAAATTCATGTCACTTTTCTTTCAACTTCAAGTTATATGGCATGCATATTCTGAGTGCGTATATATTTACCGAGTTTTCTAGGATCTTTTTACAGTATTTTGTGTTTCATGGGCCTGAGTGTCATTTTCCTAATTATCAAACAGCAACCGGCTTTGAGTTGGTTTTTCGCAGCCTTATTTTCGTGATTTATTTACCCTTTTACCTTGTTCTTGCTATGAGGGAAATGGAGGGTTGAAAATTTTTTGATGAACTTAATTTCAAAGATCGAAGAGGTGGGATCTTAGAATTTTAATAAAAAAAGATATAAGATAAAAGAGTTGGGGAGGTTGGATTGCCTTTTATTTCAGTGATCTTAATTAAGCAGGATCACCTAATTATGTCCACCGCATTCAATATTCTCCAAAAGAGCACAGTATTGAGTTACATGCATGCATGTGTTCTTATTTCTGGAGACTGGCGGCATAAATTGTCATCAAGAATGAGGGCCACCGGAGAAACTCTCATGTCGGTTGTCCATGTGATGAATATATACAAAATTTAGGTGTCGCCTTAAAGGCTTATTAATTAGACTGGTGAGGAGAGGAGTGTGTACGGTAACCTACACGGCACATAAAATAGGGATACTGTAAATGGTTGTGGATAAGGAAGACGGTACTAGGATGTTGATCTGAGAGTTAAGGGGAAGACGAAAAGAGAAAATGTAATGCGGGTCGGGGAGGAAGGTGCTTCCTGTTTTCGGGTACGATGACATGAAGCCGAAGAAGCCCAACCAACAATGCAAGCACTGGCGTTGGGCCTTTCCATTATTGGGGAAGGCCCATCACAGACACTCTTCCTCCAAAACACCATGCGCATTCGAGTCTCCTGCGGCAGACTAGGGGAGTGTTTGGATAGAAACAAAACCATAGTTTCAGAAGTGCTTTTACGGATTACGAAGTAAATATGTGGAGGAGGTTACCTCGTTTTGCGGAAAAGTGCTTCTGAAACCACGGTTTTGGAGCACCCAAACAGAGTCTAGGACTTCAATGGGGCGTCACGTCTCACGTCTCACGTCTCATAGCCGCACAACAGTTCTCTTTTGTGTAAATAAAAAACTTCTGTTCACCAAAAAAAAAAAAGTTCTCTTTTATTCTGCAACCCCCGATTTTAATTATAAGATTTTGCTTGTATTATAAGACTTTTGTAGTTTGTAACTTTTTTGTCAAAAAAAAAAGTTCTCTTTTATTCTATTACGTATTGCCAGCTTCAACCTGAGGCATTCACAAAAGTAATCTCTCTCTCTCTGCACGTGCGCGCGCACGCGACATGTGTAAATAAAATCGTAAGTACTGTTATTTTATTAATTTTCAAGAAAGCAAACCAATCATTTATCCTACTTTACTCTAAACGCCTCGTATCCTAATTTTGGAGGGTTTGGATAAAAATAAAACTATGAATTTAAAAGTGTTTTTGCCTTATATGAAATAAATATACTCCTCTGGTCCTTAATATAAGACCCATTAAACTAATTTGATTAGATTAAGGAAGTTAGGTAAGTTACTTAATTATAAGAAAAATGACACATTTTTCCTAAAACACCATAATCATCTTTCTTAATACCCTCTCTCCTTCTTCTACTTAATTATGGTTGAGGGAGTATCATAGGGGTAATTTAGAGAAAATTGATAAATATGAGAAATGGTTCTTATATTTAGGACCAAAACTAACTCAAGAATTGGATCTTATATTAAGGACCGGAGGAATATAAAAAAATTTGTCTCGATTTGTGAAAAAAAATTTTAAAAGCACTTCTTGAATAATTCAAACACCCCCTTAATCCTCAGGTGAAAAAAAATTACAAAAATAGGAAACTCTAATAAATAGAAGATAATCTAATAAATATAATTCTACTTCGAATTATTTATTTAAAAGATAATATAAATCATAAATGAAATTAAAAAAAAAAAGATAATCATACAATTCAGTCTAGACTCTAGAATTTCCTAATCTATGATAAATTCAAGATATCTGCTAACAATATCACATTTCATCATTGACCCTCAATTATTATCTGGTCATATTGTATCTGAAAACGCTTTCTCTGCTCATTTTATGCATTCAGAGAATAAATTTTGACGACTATGTCCTCTCGGCCGCTAAAAATTGAAAACAAAAAGATAAAATTATTCTTTCAATCCTTATATAATTTCTATCCGTTTCCAAAGAATTCCTATGCCTTAAAAGCTTCGAAAAAAAGGTCCTCATATAATTGTATTTTCTTAAAAACAAAATAATATGTCTCATTATAATCATTTATGAAAATCTATATTTTCACATAAACGTTCATATATTCTATAGAAACATTATATTCTATGTGTTGGACTGCAGGCCCATTTTCACATATCGACATATATTTTCATCACATCTTTTCCCTTTTACTTTTCTTCTTAGCCCAATTTATGTCTACTTTATATGATAGATTTATGTGTAAGATCCTCTTTTTATCATGTGATCTTTTGATCAAAATCCTTATTGATAACATTTTCTTTTTTAGTTTCATTTTTTCTCTGGTGATATAACTTATTGAGATCTTTTTCTTCCTCTTCGGGTACCTGAATCTCTTCTGGAATTTTACAATTAGTTATATCTTAACACTCTTTTAGAGTACAATCCCCCTTAATACAACTTCTAAGTTGTATGCTCCTCTTTACTCAATATATTTATATTAGAAACCAATTAACCTCTCATTCTTCCAGCTCTTCTCAGCATGTCTTTTTTATTTATACTAATTAGAGTATTTCAGTTGGAATTAGAGATTTAAAATTTTCATTCAGGTTAGTAAAATATTTTGTAGCATTTCATGAATGCAATGTTTGATGAACTTCTGATCCATACTGATATACATGAGGATTTATATTTGATAGTAATAATACATTCCATGCGTTCTCTTTTCCCCGCTACTCAACTTCTCACCCTCATATTCGGAAAAGTTTGTCAAATAACAGTCAACTAATTATATAATATAAGTCTCCAAAATCTATTTGTTTCTTCTAAGAATATTGTTTTGTTCCATTTAGAGACAAACAAAAGAAGGAAGTTCTTGTTCAGCATATGTCCCAACTTTCTTTAAATATCCATCTATGTGCATTGTGGTGGATTGGTAGGAATAAATATTGCACATTTCAATTTTTAGATGGAAAATATCTAGCTCCTGACCAAAAGCTAATTTTATTGGGAAATTTTGTTGCCTTGATGTCTATAAGTATTGCAATACATTAAATCAAATATGCCAACACTAAATAGAAAAATTTATTCTTATAAATGTTGATCAAGCTATTCACGAAGACATAAACAAATAATTTTACTAGATCAGTTTGTTAAACACGCTTTTCAACATTAAAAGCCTGATATATAAATTTGCTTCTAAAATCAAGTGTTTAGGATCACATAGTCCAAATATTTATCTAAACAATCTTG